TATTTATGATGGGCAATTCTAATTTGGTTAAGATACATTTTTTTAAACTGGAAAAATAATAAAATACAGTTTGTAAAAACAAAATAAACTGAGAATAATGCAAAAAAATTAAGGCAGGCAGTCCAGTGAAAGGTACTGTATTAGTATGAGAAAGGACTGACTGCTGCAAAGCAGAACTGTTTTAAATATAAGGCCAATTAGACCCAAGTATCACAACAGCCAAATGAAAGTCTCTTTCCCAGTTCAAAAATGGGGAAGACTGTAAACTGAAGGGGCAAAGTCCAGTGGTTCAAAGATAACCCCATAGTCTTTGTTTAGCCCTGGGAAGTTAAATAATAATGGGATCTTCAGCTACTGAATATTATACACACACACACACGGCAAATGAAATATAAAAATAGTAGAGGTCACTGGTTCAAACATAAGCATGAGACCAGACATACCCAGAAGGGTAGGAGACACCCCTTTACCTTGGTGTCATACCACAAATTGTCTGGGGAAATTCTTTTTAATGATGTGGCCCAAATTAAAAAAAAAGATTAATTGGCAACTGACAGCAGTACACAAGTTATCCTGCCTCCAGGGATAGATACAAAGTACCTGTATGTTGGGAGAGCTTTCCAGCAAAAGGAGTAGCTGAAAGCTGTTCTGAGACTCAGGGATTCTCAAGGGACTCTAAGCTGTTAAAGTGCTTGTGAATTCAAGCAGAACAGATTCCTGTTCTTTTGCTCAATATTTCTGGTAAGCAACAAATTGTACAGAAGGGAATTGTGGTTGGAAATCTGAAGCACTAGATCTAGTAAATGCTGGTAAAGAAGAAAACTACAAAGGGGAAGTGGGTCAAGGGGAGTTCCCAGGGTTTTTACTGGTTTTTTTCTCGTGCGATCCTGTACACTGAAATAAGAGAAACAGCAAAACAGTCTATTTCTGATTAGGAATCAGGAATTATCCTCCTATTGCAAGAACACCATAAGCTGCATTGCATTGAATGGGGGACACTGGCCCATTATGTAGCCACCTTATCATTTACCATAGGCAAAAGGGAAGCAGGCTAACAGCCAATAGAGGAAATGTACCAGAGAAACATATAATAGAGACTTCAGGCATTCCTTCAGGCATCACCCTAGTTCTGGCTAAGGAACAAAGAAGGTGGCAGCATCTGCCTTGGTGAGGGCTACAGAAAATTAAATGAAGGTCCTTCTTAGCTGCTACTATAAACAGCAAGCGGATACACTGGATGCTGTAGCAGGTTCAGTCTGGTTTTCCAGACTGGAACATAGCAAGTGAAAGCAGATCCAAAGAACAGGGAAAAGGCTGCCTTTTACAGTAGGGCAAGACCCACAGTAATTTAAAGAGATGGCTTTTAGTGTGTGCAATGCATCAACTGCATTGGAAAGGATATTACATGGCATACCATTTTCATCCTGTTTGTTATATGTATAGGATATCCTGGTGCATGCTTCAATGTTTTGAACAAAAAACCAAACTGTTCCATTTTGAAACGGTTTGTGATAAACTTAAAGCTGCCAATATGAAATTGGACCTACAGAAATGCATCTGGCTTCAAAAAAAAGGTAATTTACTTTGGGCACTGAATCAGCAAGGAGAGAATAGTCACTGACAGAAAGAAAACAGAGGCTGGCAGAACTGACTGGCCCACTCCCCAGATACCCACAGATGGACAGAGTTTTGTAGGGCCCTGCTCCTAGCACAGAAGGTTTGTTTATGGGTTTGCCAATATTGCAAAATCACTGTCTAGCTGGGTGAGAAAGGAAAACCACTTCAGTTGTCAGTATGTGATTTACCATTTTCAGAACTGAAAAAGACTCTTTTAATGGCTCCTGTCTCAGCTTACCCATATTTCAAAACAGCTTTCATACTGGGCCAAAATGTTGGTGCTTTAAGTTTAGGGACTTATTGAAACGAGAACACAAAGCACTCAAGGGCAGTAGCTTATTACAGTAAAGGAACTTCTAGCAATGTTTAAATCATTTGAATATTTTCTACCACTATTTGCATGAAGGAAATTTGTAGGCAGGACAGACAGACCATGCACCCATGCAGTGGCAGTTTAGACTGAGGGATCCTGAGGAGCAGCTTGCCAGAGTTCACTGTCACACATAGTCCTGACCACAGGCACTGTCCAGGCAGCCTTGTTTAGATGCTAAGATCAAACACAGCCCTAAGCAGCAGAGCAAGGATGTGGCTATTCAAGAGAAAGACCATGTTTAGGAAGAAACAGCTGCCTCCTCTCTTCCTGTAATTTACAAGAGGGCAAATGACACTGGTCCAGCTGCTGAAACAGCAGCTAAGGACATTCCAAAATCTGATATCAGCATACTGTATGACTGGAAAACCATTTGGTAAATGTAGCATCTGTTTAGAAAATCATAATAACGCCATTAGCATAGTAATTCCATTTGTAGAATACCCTTCTGGTGGTATGAAAATCTAAAGCTTAAAAATGAAATACTGTTTAGATGTGAATAATCAGCAAGTGATGGCAGTTACCAGCTGGGTATACCAGATACCTTGAAAAAGGTGCTGGACATACTGGGACTGTAAAACACCTAGCCACGTTAAGAGGAAACTTCTATTGGATAAAATGCAGGCAGGATGCAGAGAACTGGTGTAGAAAATAATATTTGTGTTGCAAAGAACTTTCTCTGAGCTGAGAGATTTCCTGAGCACTTTTGTATGAAGGTACTAACAGGAGTCCTTGAGCCCCTGCCTGAGATTTATTAAACAATGTTAAAAACAGCTTATGTTTATTATGAATTAACCCATAAAGGATAAATACTAATTGAAGCAGTGAAGTATAGTTGAATAAAAGCTTCTTCTAACAGCATTGCTTCATCACTTTTCTCATCCAAAAAAGGAGCAAAATATATGGTTTCAGCTGTTTGCAGTTTATCTCTCTTGGCAAGAATACCAGCCTCCTACCACTAACTGATTTACATTCATTCCATCTGGTAGAAATCTAATTTAAATATGAATAAAAATACAAAAAAAAACACCTCATGGGCACTGTAAAAATCCATAAACTTGACATGCTTTATCCTATCACAACACACTTTCAATATTATTCTTCTCACTTCACTGAGACTTTCCTAAAAAAATTAAGACACTGCAAAACACCACGTATGTGGCGCTAAACACTGTAAAAAAAAAAAAAAGAAAAAAAAAGCACGAAACGTGATTATACTAGTTAGTACTATGCAGTGATTGAAATAATTTATATTTAAAGTAGGATTATAACACTGATCTCTAAGGATGCAAACAGACACTGTCTTTGTACAATCATAAACATTTTTATGGTGGCACAAAACCCAAGCAAAGAGATATTCATGCCCCTTTGTTACGTCACAAATGCCCAAAATTTTGGTCGCAAAGGCAGGTGGAAAAAGAAGTGTGCTTTTTTTTTTTGTGAGAGATGTTCACCCTCTCCAGCTACCCCAGGTAGGTGCACCCAGAGTTCAGGGCCCTGATCCTATGAGCCCTGAGAATTTCCATGTAGGATCAGGCCCCTGAAGCCCTGGGAACACCTACCAAGGTTCCCTGCTTGCAGACACACACACTCAGCACACATATTGTGCTGCCTTGCCCCAGCTCATGACAATAGGCAACATCTGTGTTGCCCAATAAAGCATGTGTGTGTTATAGCCTAACATTCCTAATTGAATTTATGCTTGAAAAAGTTAAAGAATTTTCACCAAATTAAGTGAATACACACAGATAAAATCTGACATTTTGCTTAACATAAGTATAAAAATAGCTAGTAAAACCACATGGATCACATTCATCAGTGGTAGAAACAGTGCACTCTATGTAGTCAATGATGAACTTCCATGAAAATTATCATGCAGGACACTAGGTTTGAGGCTACGATTTTCAAAGCATAATTATTAAACACTATTAAACACATTATAATGAAGCATATAATTAAGTTTCAGCAGCATCAAGACTTGTTCTTCTTCACAGAACATCTGAGTAGCTGCAGATCAAATAATGCTACAGTCCCAAATACTTTTTATGGGTGGAGTTCTGCCATCAAATATTAATTCCTTGCAGGATCAAAGGCTAAACATCACAACTTCTGTGAAATTTTTTCATGTTTACCTACTAAACTAGTATGAATTGGACAGAATACGCTTCCAGCATACCTGGCACAACCCTTCTGAAGAGATAAGTTTCCAATACAATGTCAATACTTAATGCCACCATGCTCTTTTGCCACATTACAGCCGTTCTGCGCTGTATCTTCTTTTAAAACAGTCCATATTTTCAATGATAAAAGGGGAAAGGGTTTTAATTTCCACCCCACATCTATAATGCAAGTTTCATTTGCAGTACTAATGCAATTTTAAAAGTACTCTACCTATGCAGTTCTGAATTAAATACTAACAAAGTCTGTATGAACTCTGTAGATAAGCAGCTGGAGAGACCTGGCCTCCTCACTTGGTCTAAGCTACTCAAAGTAATATTTTTTTATTGATATCTTCATTATTTTATATATTTGCTCATTCTTACTTGCATCTTGTAAAAATATTTTGTAAAACTAAAATGTGTTGCACCCCAAAGTGCAAGAATACAGGCTTGTTCTTTGCCATTCTTCTTTCCATTTCATGCCAGATGCCAAGACTGGTTTTGTACCCAAACAGAAACTAAGAAAAGATTACAGTACTCAACCACTTGGCCAAGTAAAGATTTAAACTCAAGGCCTCTGGTATCAGAAGCTATTATGGAGACATGTACTTTCACACAAGTTGACTCCTAAAGCGCAAGATTTCTGCTCCTGAAATTATATGAAAATATTTTTTTTCCCTTGAATGCGACACTTTTATCAATTAGTACTGTCTTTACTGTTTATGTTATAAAAAGAGTTTCTTTTTAACAGAATAGTCAACTGAAATTTTCACTATACAAAAAGCTCTGCCTTTGGAATACTTTGTCAACAGTAATAAAAGACTGAATAACTAGGTTACGAAAACTGTATATACCACATTATCTGCAGATACTGGATTTTGATCCTCTTCTTTATGGCCAATATCTTCACTTTGAAGAGCTTCATTGGCTTCTTCTGCAGAAACAAATACATTTGCTCTTTTATTTTTTCCTAGGTTTTAAGTTTAGTATCTTTAGTGCATTTTTTCATGGATTTGTGTAAAATTTACTACAGGGTGACATCTTCTATGATTTTTAAACCAAAAGGGACTGTACAACATTTCAAATCACCATGCCTTGAGAAGACAAACATAATTCCTGTTAACCTCCTACATCAAACACCAACATTTCCGTATTTACAACTTCAGTCTGAGAGTTTGACACTAGAGCTGGCAGGAGATTTTTCATTAAAGAAAGTCTTAAGGATTATTTGCATTAAAGTAAACTATCACTGAGGTCTTATTTGTAAATTCAGAAACTTTTTTGCAAACTTGGGAAGGCTGTGGTAACTGTTATTTTATCAAATAATTAATTATTGTTGGTACACCCATTGTATTTATCTTCCAGAACTGTTTAACTGCAGCTCAATTTATTTTGAAGTTGGGACAAGAAGGAAAATAATCCTTCTGTTAGAATATATAATCTCCCTTTCACTCTTAGTTGGTAAGGAAATCCTGCACTTGTCCTGTGGTTCCATAAACCTTATAAGCTTCTTCTCATTGCCTGTATCCCTTAAAGCTGTATCCCGAGTTTCAAAATGCCTAGCTCGATGAACAGTCATCTTGCATTTTAAACTATTAGAGCAGTTCATTCACCCTCAGGCATGTCAAAGATTCTAAGAGCTTTGCATTTTACTTGGCTTTCAATACTTTTACCCAATTCGGTATCATCTTCTTTTATTCCTTAGAGTGGTGTTTGACAAAGACATCATCACAAGTTTGTTCCTAACAGTTCTCAATTTCTCCAACTCTTTCCTCTAAATTGCTCAAACAGACAGACAAGATCAAATCTGACTGCCATAGCATGCATTAAAATAGCATCCCTTTTAGTCTAGAAGTGCAGGCCTTATTGATCTCTTCTAATCAGAAATGCTGGGAGCAATTAGCTGAACATACAGAGTCAGTGAAATGTAAAAAATAGTAGAGTTCATCTGCCTTAGGGCCCAGAGTTTTAATTAAAAGGAGGAGAAGGAAAGGGAGACACGGGTGACTTGCTTTGGTCATTCTCTTCTGTATGACATAAATCAGCTTGTCTTCTATTCCCTTTCAGCATTCAGAATAATGAAATTGCAAGAGTGGGAATACACATTTATTCAGACATGTGTACAAACGCATACATGCAAAATATGTGCAAATGCATATGTACTCTTACCAAAGCCTAGTACTACAGACTCTGCCATCCAATTCTCCTGATTATTACCTAGCTGGCAAAGAGACATCCAAGCCATCTTAGAAAGTGCTTAGGCTAGAATTTCTGTTTTTGCTATAACCTGACTTCACTGACCTGATTATGCATCTGAACTGACTGAAGAGAACTGACTTGTTAGCTTATTTTTGTGCATTTTTTTAAAGGATGCCAAAAGAATAAATTCATACTCTTACTACAGCTTGTATAAATCTACATAACTACCTAAATAAATATAAAAAAACCTTGCCCCTGCCATATCAGCTTATGACTGTGACTAACAAAACAGAGGTCTGAATTTCTTAATACCTGTCCATGTCAGAAAAGCAATTATTTCAGACATTTTAGAATGTGTATGTCAGACAGGATTAAAAATCATATGAAGTGCATCTAATGGGAAAAAAAAGGATACAGAGTAATAACGACAGCTTCAATTACCTTGTGAACTTCCTTCCGATAAGCAGATTGATACTTCATCATTCCTATCATTATCATCACTCACTTCGGTAGCAATTTCTTCTCCTGGAGTAAGTGATGATTTAGTACCAAATTCTGATTGATCAGAGAAATCAGCAGGGCCTCCTCTAGGGGGTGGGACTTCAATCCCCATTAAACGATATTTCCGTCTTCTGTTTCCAATCCAAGTCTTTTAAAGAGAGATACAAATGGATAACATAAGAATCTAGAACATAAACTACAGGCCTGAAATGAAGAGAAAGAAACGTATCTATGTTACAGAAGGCAAGATCTTTGGCTCTGTTCTTTCTGTTCTGCACCGCATGCCACTGAAATAAAGATAAACTGAGTGGATCTGCCTGCCTTGGTATTTTCCAAGGAATCCTTTAAGTCTCCTGGCATTTTACATAGTAGTCATAGCCAGGAGAAACTGGGCATTGTCAGAACGCTACTGGATTCATGTTTTTCTTTGTTGCAAATGATGGCTTTATTAATTTTTGATAATCAGATATAACAGGGACATTCTTAAGAACACTTTAAATTAGGGCTGTCAAATTTACTTGCCCCCCCGCCCCTGCAGGCTGGATCCAGATGCAGCAGTGAAACAATCAGCAGCTTTGTTAAAAGCTGTGGTGCTTGAACCTTTGGGTCAGGCAAGGGAGCTGCAGAGATTAACGGCCACGTCTTGCTCTACCAATGCTGGAATACATCTGTAGCCATACCATGGAATTTGGTGGTGGGTTTTGCCTCGCATTCCCAGTCACCCCAGCAGCCCTGTGAGCTGGATGACGTGGCTCTGAACACCATATCTTTGACACCCCTGCTTTAAAAAATGTTAGCAACTGAAACTGCTCTAGGATCAAAGACTCTAAGAGCTGACTCAAAATTGCACAGCACTATTGCCTTACATTCCTTTCAGGTAATCTAAATTACCATACTCTTTGAAAGATAAACTTATACTCAGGGGTATCAAAACACAATGGATATGCAAAAATTATGAGCATGCTTACTCTGTCCTATACTGTAGACAGAAAACTACATTAAAAGGACATTAGCAAGGTTGCAAAGTGAAGCACTCAACAATCCCAAATGCCAGAATTAAGGTGGCTCATCACTTCTCATCTGACCAGTCTCTCTCATCTACTGTTTCTGTTCCACAGGCCCAGCCTCCCCTAAATACATCTTCTCTTCCTAGTCTCTTCCTTCATCCCTTCTTGGCTACTTTTCCAAGCCCCTTTTTCTCCTCGTCAGACTAGATCCTAGTTCTACTCACCTTGCTCAGCGGCTAATTGTAACCTTCCTTTACCATGGCTTGCAGTCCAAATTTCCAGCACTACCTCTCCCCCACCACGCCCACATCCAGTCATTTTTTCTCAGCTTTTCCCATTAAATCAAAGGTCCACCAGACTTCTTGTCTTAGATTATTTCATTACATTATTCCTTTCTAAAAACAATTCCCTTGAAACAATATATCTTCACTTAGCTTGGTAATGTTTTTAATTGTTTTAGGCTAATATATTTTTAATAGAATGGGATCTACCTGCAATCTGCATATTCATGAGAATGTACAATAGTCCCACATTGTAGTTATTAGAGTTCTCAACATGCAGTACATTTGGTGTTCTGGTCTTTTTTTTTTTGTCTTTTTTTTTTTTTTTAAAGAAAATAGTGCACCAAATTGCACTGTTTTTTTTTTAATTACTTAATTAAGTAGTTCTTAGAACTAATATTTGTATGCCTTCTACATTGTCACAATGTATTTTTCCTATGTTTAAAAGTGAGTGACTATTCATCCTCTTCTAATGTGAAGTATTGAAAAAACACTGCAAGAATTATTTGGAACATATGGACAAGACAGACTGTTTATTTTTCTTTTGAATTACTTATTTTGCAGAGTTTTTGAAAAGCAGAAAACAGAACCACATATTAAATGCTGTATATTAAACAAGCCTTGTGAAATACATGCATATGCTTCTGAAATGTACTGATTTAAATTTGGAAAGTAAATGTGTCATTTATTTATAGGCTTTCCTGTAGCACGCATCACTTGATAGTGGATATTATGGAGCAATGCACTGAGATGCATCTGAATACAAGTTAAGCTGCATTATCCTTTTCCTCCCAGAACATTCAGAAGTCTGATATCCAAGTATAACAATACGCCATTTATTCTGTTCACCAGACACTAACTTTTGGTATACGTCAGTCAGGAGAGAGAATAAAAAGAAACAACCTTATTAGCCACAAGAAGCTAGGCAATCTACAGTAACCAGAAAAAAAATGAAAAAGTATTGGGCACTTTAATGAATGATTGGCACAGCATTCATGTGTCTGAGAATACCATGAAACAACTTGTTTAGTTTTTGGTGCCTTGGAAAACACTTGAAAGACAATGTAGAGGCTTAAATATGTACAATAAGTTACAACCTTCAGTGACTCAGGATACCTCTATATGTTACTTTTATGCCATAATTATTGTGTTAATCACAGCATAAATGGCAAGGGTTTTACACGTGCACCCAATTTAAGACATCAAAGTAGGCAACAGTCAATCTCTGGATCATGGTGTACATGTAAGAGGTCTAGTCAGGTGCCTGATGAATCTGTTTTTATGGAGTCCTATGACTATCCCAAGATCTTCGACATGTATGCCCAAGCAAGAGTATGGAGCAGTGGAGATTGCCCAAGAACATGACTGCTTTACGCCACTGAAACAGAATCTAAAGGCCAGACTGAGTACAGACATTCAATGCCTCGATGGCTGTAGGTTCTGCCAGAAAGCAACAGATAAGAACTGCTGCTGACTGCCTAGAGCCTCAGTGAGGGCATATTTCTGTCAGGGTGATGTCCCTTAGCCTTTCTCCAACCAAGGAGTACCCAATAAGGCAGTGAGGGACAGGGTTTTGAAGCATCTTATACTCACTCTGGAGATTGCAACATTGTGGTATTTTATAGAAGCTCCCCCGCCACAAGTAGCCCCACCAAACTGCCACCAGGCCCTCCAGTTGGACACAATTTGCGGTCATGCCCAGGACCATATAATGGCAAACAGCCAAAAGAATGTTTCACATACAAGGTAGAACTTCTTTGTGACTTGTTTGTATAGCACCTTAAATCTTTATCAGCAACTTGGATGAGGGGGTGGAAAGCATGCTGTCCAACTTTGCTGATGACACTAAGATGTGGGGCAAGGTGGACACACTTGAAGGGAGAGAGAGGGTACAAATAGATTTAGACAGACTACAAAAGTGGGCAGATGAGAATAGGATGGGGTTCAACGTAGACACATGCAGGGTGCTGCACCTTGGGAGAAGGAATCTACAGCACACATACAGGCTGGGGAGTTCCTCTCTTGAAAGCCCAGAGGCGGAATGGGATCTTCGTGTCATTACTGACTCCAAGATGAACATGAGCCGCCAATGCCAGACCGCAGCCAGCAAGGCCAGCCATACCTTGTCATGCATCCAAAGATGCATCTCAAGCCCGTCCAGAGAGGTGATACTCCCCCTCTATGTGACTTTGGTTAGGCTGCACTTGGAGTACTGCGTCCAGTACTGGGCGCCACACTTCAAAAGGGATGTGGCCCACCTGGAGAGGGTTCAGAGGAAGGCCACCCGCTTGGTGAGAGGGCACCAGGACAGGCCCCATAAGGAGAGACTGAGGGACCTGAACCTGTTCAGCCTCAGCAAGAGAAGGCTGAGGGGGGACCTGGTGGCTGCCTACAAACTCATCAGGGGAGATCAACAGCAAATAGGTAGAGCCCTTTTCTCCCCAGAACCACCTGGGGTGACGAAGAACAATGGTAATAAGCTGATGGAGAATAGGTTTAGGTTAGAGATCAGAAGGCAGTTTTTTGCAGTTAGGGTGGCCAAAATCTGGAACCAACTTTCCAGGGAAGTGGTCCTCGCCCTACCTTGGGCAAATTCGAGAGAAGGTTGGATGATCACCTGTCTGGGGTCTTGTGAACCCAGCATTAGTTCCTGCCTGTAGCAGGGGGTCAGGCTAGATGATCTGTTCAGGTCCCTCCTGACCCTAGCTACTATGAAACTATGAACCTGTAGCAGATTCATGGCTGCCCCAGGGCCAGTGCCAACAATCAGCTGATTGCACTGCACTGGAACATGCCAGGCTGGTGGCACCTGGTTAATGCAGGGGGAGCCCAGGATCAAGATCCTGCACTGACAAGTAGAAAGGGCTCAGCTGATACTATCTTGACATCAGATCCAATGTGTGGGACAGCAGAAGGCACAATTGTTGGGACTGGAGCTCAGATCCCATAGAACCTTTAAATGACCAGGGGATAAGGGCCAGAGGCCTCTGAGAACAATTTTCATGTAACATTTGTGCCAGAGAATTCATTGACCGTTGATAGATTGAATCTGATGGAACTTACAGAGCAGATGTGAATGTCATTCTTATGCGAAAAAGGAAAAGCAATACATTTCATAATGGTATGATTCCTTATACCACAGAAACTACATTTTATATGGCTCTACATACACAGGCCATGTATATTTTTAGAAAAGCAACATTTCTCAATAGAAAAATAACTGAGGAAAAGTTATCTCCTTAAAAATATATTACAAGTAGCATGGGAACTGAACAGAATTAATAAAAATTAAAATGTTCTATGTAAACAAGCGTACACATTAAACCATTTTTGTTATACTTCATAATTTACAAGGAAGGGTAAATAGCCGTACAGCTACTAGAATTTATGCTGTCCTTTTATTTATTCCATAGTGTTTCATACATGGATTCCACGTATTGAGACTGGAGAATATTTGCCAGTTCATATGTGAATGTAAGCTATCCTTGTGCTGCAGGACCAACAGTCACCCCAGTTCGTTCTCTAACATCATTCCCATAGATTATATAGAGCAGTGCTTCCCAAACTTTTCCTCAGCATGACCCCTCACTTCCAACCCACAGCCCCCCACCCCCATGACGCCATCCACTCATGTTGCAACCCTAGTTGGGGTGGCAACCCACAGTTTGCAAATTGCTGATATACATAGTAGCCAACTGCCTGTTGAGAAGGATGGGGTACGCGGGGGCGAGGTGTGGTGGGAGAGGACTGGGATGGAGTGCCACCACCTAACACTCCATGCTGCTGCTGTTCTGCCTCTTTCAGGGACCAGGATGGGGGAACTGAGGCCAGCAGTGCTGGCCTCAGCTCCCCCACCCTCT